GACCTGCTGGCGTTCCCAAAGCCCAGATGAGCATCGTGCTTCAAGATGTGCCACAGCAGAGGAGTGCTCACCTTTTACAGTGTTAAATATATTACGTACATAAACAGCAAGCGTTGTCTGTCTCTTTCTGGCAAAAAGCTCCAAGACCACTCATCCGATCTGCATCAACAAGATGTTATTCAGAAGCCAGCTTCAGTGGACCAGCTTCAGTTTCACAGGCTGACCCCTGACATCTCCCTTTCCCTCACTGCAGGCTGGCAAAGCCCTCTGTGACCTCACAGAAGCTCGGCCAGTGGTCACCTGCAAGGTCTACCATGCCTCCTCCAACCACAAAAGATCATTAAGACTTCAGAACAGGTTAAGGGCAGTAGGGCAAGCAGAGAGGATAGAAGTAAAAATCAGATAAAGAGGTAAAAAAAAAGAAATGGGCTATCAGGAAAGGGGTTTTATGACCTTCAGCCAATTATACTGACCTATCTTCTGCTTGACTGCACAAATGTTTAATATGTACAAAATTATATTGGTGGGCAGGTGGGAGTCAAGCCACTCAGCACCTTTCACATCACAGGCCACACCCAGTCAGAGGCCATCCCATTTAGTGGCCAGCACCCTTGTGCAAAAATCTTGCACTGGGCAATGAAAACACACCAGCTGCTCTGTCCACAGGAAGAAGAGATTTGCTTCCAAGACAGATGGCTGGTCTTCAAGCGCCCTCCACAGGGGCAATGTCCTTGCGGCTAGAGGCAAATATGTCAAGGAGGAGACGGGCAAATTCTTTATAGGAATCGGTTAACAACGTATCTGGTGTGCAAGAGCAGAACTGTGCGGAAGACTGCCCCTTTCCCAGCTTGCCATTTCAGGATCACATCTCTCCTGGTGGCACTGGGTTCCACCTTCTAGGACAGAGCCTTTCCTACCTGTTGGCATGCGGCGTACGATGGCGAAGCTCATGCACGGAGCCAGAGTCCCCATCCTCCCGGATGTATAGCTCTGTCTCAGACCCTCTGTGAGAACCTCCCTCATTCTCTTCAGTGGTGACAGTGTGGAAAGACTCCACGCCGGAGTGCTGAGAGATCAGGAGCTGTGGGAAACAGGAGCAAAGCGCTCGGGAGCACGTTCTGGCTGGAGCCCCAAGTGGCTCGGCCCCGCAACCTCACTTACCCCAAGCTGCACCCTCATCAGGACCTGGGCAGTCGGAGCAGAGTTGCTGAGCTGGAACCACTGGTCAAGGACAAGCCCATCTGCCGCCAGCAGCTGGGAAAGCGGGAGGGACAGCGAACCCAGGCTGTGCCCATCATCTTTCACCTAGCAGGACGAGAAATGGTCAGAGATGCCTCAGCATTGGACAAGCAGAAGTGGAAATGGCAGTGGCAGGTGGAAAGGCTTAGGATCACAAGAGATCTGGCTGAGAATATTTAACAGAGCTTGGAAACACAGGAATGGAACTTCGATAAACTTGGATAAGAAATCATAAAACTTAACATATATGCAACACACATTAAAGATTTCAAGCATGTCATCTATAACTAATCCTCACAAGAACCCTATCAGTAGGTTTTAGTTTGAGAAAAGGTACTTGTTTGCTTAATGCTATTTAGGAAATCTATGCTTGAAACATGCAATTCCTCACTCATGGTATGAAGGAGTACATGCCACAAAAAGCTTTACCTTCTGACCTTCTGTTGTGCCACTCAGACCAGTCATTCTCAACCAGTGGTACATGTAACAATTCATGCCTTGAGTTCTCAACCAGTGGTACATGTAACAATTCACAACAATTACTAAAAACACACTGTTTCTCACTTCTTCTGTCCTCTTGCAAGCCTGATGTGCTAAAAATTTATATTTCTTAAGGCTTTGGGGAGTTACAGTTCAAGGTCACCAGGAACCCCAAAGTTAGAAAGCATTGCATCGTAAAGAACAAAGTGATTGCATCTGGTTCCACTTTTTCAGCATAACACTATAAGATGTTTTTTCTGGAAAGGTTAGGTCTGGTCAGAAGCTGGGACACAGAACTTGCCCACTGGATTCCAGGCAGCTACTGAGATCACAGACAACTTCATTTTCCTGGCACACAAATCCTGGCAACAGCACTGCCTCACAAAAATATTGACTTCCATCTTCATTTTTTCCCAATCTCTTTGAAAAAAAATCATATCATTGAAAGCAAAATCACAATCTAGCAGCCTCTGCGCCAGATGGAGCTGGGATGATTTGCGTGGCCCCTTTCCTAAAGGTTTCTATCCACTGTTAGAGAACGCCCAGCTCATTGTGAAAGGCTTAGATGATCTGCCCATCACACGGATGACTGAGAATTTGACTATTTGAATGAAACACAACGTGAAATGACTGACTAATGTACATGGAAAAGTAAAAAAATACAAGTTATGATGTACAAGAAAGAACAATTTTTCACTTGCAGTCATCTGTGGTGGGATGGTCAGAAAGAGGTACTGTAGATTCAAAACAGTGAGGGAGAAAATGAGAGAGGCAGATTTGAAAATCTACAGAAGGGGCCTACCTGCAACTCCAGAGATTCTGCATGGGGTCTCTTGATCAGGAAGGAGAAAGCTTCCTCCCACATTGGCTCTACAGACTGAGGGCAGACCTGAGGGCAGAAAGAGAGGCCAGGACATAAATCTCCCAACACTTGGAAAGAACACAAGGGAACAAAGGATCACACTTGGAGGCCGGGCTCCTGTTTTCTGTCAGTCAGCCTAAGTATTTTTGAGCACAGTGTCACAATCAAGCAAAATTAAGAACAAAGTAGTTGTGCCCATCCTCAAGCATGAGTTGAGGGGGGGGGGAGAAGAGTAACTTCAAGTTGTATTACTCTAGAGTAGCCATTCTCAATGGGGGCCATAGGGTCCTGTATGAGGCCCTGACAAACTCAACGGAGACCACAGACTGGAAACAATTTCTCACACACCAACTTATAAGGTTCCTTCTGCAACTTATACAGTCCTGATTCAACCTATATTTTCTTTCCTGTGGTGTTTATGGCCATAGCAAAAAAAAAGAAAAAAAAAGGTCGAGAATGGCTGCTATAAAATACATATGTGTTGTGACTGAATTATGACAGTAGATTCAGGAAGCTATTTTTCTCCTTAATAATTTTTTTTACTTCACCTGTGGATCGATCTCTTTAAAGTCCAGACTCGCTTTCATTGCTACCCTTCTATAACTCCAAAAACTATTTTTAATCTTTTCTTACAATTGATGTGCTTATTAACAATTTGAGTAATGATCCAGTCATCTAACTATTGCTACTGATTGGTCCCATCTCTTGTGGGTTTAAAATGAGGATCAGTAGATACACAGGGAAGCAGCATTTTGGGGTGTGTGTGTTACAATACCATGTTACCAAAGTGATGTGTGAGATTTGTTTTCCATAGCCACAAAAAAGTCCTTACCTTATGATACTGACACACACACACACACACACACACACACAAAAGTGAACTATGCCACAATCCAGTTAACTCACTGCGGCTTCCTCTCATTCTCATGTTCCCGTGTCACCCTCTTTGCCAGTTTCCTGAGACTGCCAGGCCATCACCGCTTCTCCCCAAAAGCAGTGACCAATCGATCACCTACGGCAACTTGATCTGATCTCTCAAGACACATTTTCTTTCCCGCACTACAGTATTACCTTAGTCTTATAGGGGACATCCCGGACAGAAAGGCTGATGTAAGGACTTGGGAGTTTTGAGCCTTTTCGTATCTCTTGTGGGTTTAAAATGAGGATCAGTAGATATACAGGGAAGCAGCATTTGGGGTGTGTGTGTGTTACAATACCATGTTACGAAAGTGATGTGTGAGATTTGTTTTCCATAGCCACAAAAAAGTCCTTACCTTATGATACTGACACACACACACACACACACACACACACAAAAGTGAACTATGCCACAATCCAGTTACCTCACTGCGGCTTCCTCTCATTCTCATGTTCCCGTGTCACCCTCTTTGCCAGTTTCCTGAGACTGCCAGGCCATCACCGCTTCTCCCCAAAAGCAGTGACCAATCAATCGATCACCTACGGCAACTTGATCTGATCTCTCAAGACACATTTTCTTTCCCGCACTACAGTATTACCTTAGTCTTATAGGGGACATCCCGGACAGAAAGGCTGATGTAAGGACTTGGGAGTTTTGAGCCTTTTCGTAGCTGGCGAGGCAAGAAAGAGAGAACATGAGTGAAGGTTGTTGTTGTCAATAGAAGGCACTGTCACAAAGACATCAACTTGCTTTGCCCATCCATGAACGCGTGCATTCATTCTTGTGGCACGCCCTACTGCATATCACTTGGTGCTGCGCAGAACTTGGAAGAGGGGGACACATCACAGAAACATTTGCATGAAGAACCATTACTGGACTGGATAACGAGGAACTGGGGAGCAAGGATCGTACTGCGAGCAAACATGTGACACAGCCAAAATAGAGGCACAATGAGATCATACTGAAAAAGGGGATGGGCTTTGCTTCTCCTCCTCAGAAAGCATGTGACAGATCACAACCCTCGCTTCTGATGCAAGCAGGGCAAACGTCAAGACTAGTTAGACTCTCAGTCTACACTTGAGTTGACACACGAAGCCTGGTTAAGGGCCGACACCATGTTCTGAGCTGGAGTTCCTGCCCTTTCACCCGCTTGAGTGGCCCTTAAGCAGCTCTGGCTCCTGGCAAATGGTGATCCAGCTCTAATGACCTCTGAAAGGAATGAAGAGGAACAGCCGGACACATCTGGCAGGGAGAAGGGATGCCGGTCGTCACTCACCGGCAAGTCGGCTGCCCTGTCGATGAAGACAGACAGCAGAGCAGACGACAATTCCTCACTCTTGGGTGTCTGGATCAAGCTGTTCACTTTCAGCACCTGCCAAAAGGGGAAGAGAATTAAGACTAGGCTTAAGAGGGAGCATCCCAAGATCCGTCCACCATCAAGATGCTCTCGGGAGCAAAGATATGCTGAAAGGTTTATTTATCCTTTGACTGAAATCCTGTTGTTCAGCATAGTAAGTCTCAGTAGAATAGGACCATTGACTCCGTGGGGATTTGGTGACCCAACTGCTCCATAAATGCCATCAATTCAAAGGGGCCAACTTTAGTTACAACTTATTATGGTAAGCAACAGGAATTCAGCCAATATGTCACTTTCAAAATGATGACTTACATATCATGTCATAGTCTAGGAATCGGCATTCATCGTATATTGATTAATCACACATCTTTCTATAGTCAGAGAGGTCGCCACCTGTGGAAGGCTTGCCAGTAACGATCACATGAATCAGCTATTAAGAAGCTATTCAAATTCACCCACCGTTGCATTAAGAAGAGCAAAAAGCACACATTTCTGGGCCTTGTTCTCAGTCCTCTCCCCTGTCACATTGGCTGTTTGAAAGTCTACCGTCTGCGACAGTCTTATATTTCCAACATCCTCATAGTTTGGGAAAAAAAACTATTGTTTTTCGCACTACTACTTTCAAAACTCTCCCAGAACTATAAGCAATTCTGTGATAACTGCAGGCGTTGTAGTCCAAAAAGTAACTTGTCCAAGCTCTCTATCCTCTGCTGCTTCCCCAGCCACAGTGGCCCTCAGTCTGAACCTACAGCTTCCAAAAGCCCGAGCGGCAGATCTCATCTTGATCACAGTCTTCCCCCCCATAGAGGCACAGACCTTTATGCCTCTACAGAGAAGTCGGAAGACCACATGGGAATTCAGTTTTCACCATGCCGTAAAAACAGTGCAACAAAATAGGAAATTATTATTTTTTAAAAAAAAAAACCTTCAAATGTTGCTGTTGCCTCTTACCTCTAGAGTGGAAAAATCTGGTGAGGAATCATTCGTTTCACACTGAAATCACCCAAACTGAGATTTTTTGGGAAGGGTTTATTTGGTTTCTCTATATCCATATAGGATGTGTTAGACACTTTAGAAAACAACAGTAATATTTCCTCCAGGCTTTTCCCAGTTCACCTGACAGGGCAACGACATTCCTAGTGGCTCCCATTACCTGCTCCAGCTCAGCTGCACTGGGGGTCGGGGCCAGACACTCCAGCTTCACATGAAGACGCCCTGACTTCACATCTTCCAGAGGGAGCCACTGAAAGAGAATGAAGGGGGTGAGGCTGGCATAATGGCAGACAGGCATCTTCTCTTTATCCTCAGTTCACACACCACTGGCTAAGAATCGTCTCACCTCATCGACAAACTTGCTGCTCAGCACTCGTCTCAGAGGGATCTTGCACCTGAGGAGTGAGGGAAAGGAGTGACAGAGAAGGTCACTTCATGAAGCAAGCGGTTGTCCTTGTGCCACCAAACCATTTGCTGGGTCCTCTGGACGGAGGAGATATAACACTACGAGGCCTAATCCTATCCATTCCCCCTTGTGATGAGCTAGTCCAACATGCACTCTGGGGTCAGCAAGAGATGGGAGGGCTCCCTTCCCATCTAAACACTCTAGCTTTCCCTAACCTCTTCCCTGCCAGGTGTTTTTGACTGCAACTCCCAACCCCAGCAAACAGGGTCAGTGGCTGGGGATCTAGTAAACAAAGATTCGATACAACAGCTCAGGAGAGGTAGGTCTACCCTCTCCGAACAGTCGTTGGATTCTCCATCTTGCCAGTGCTTTGGCTCTCCTGCCTAGGCTCAGAGCCTACAACCCTTAGAAAGCCAGCAGCTACAAAATGGATGACACCTATGGGATGATGTGGCCTCTCCTCACATCCCGTGGGGTGGGTGTTCAGGTCATTCTCCTGTTCTCTATGTACACCTTTTTTCTGCTGCGTCCATACTTCCTCTGCTCCGAACATACCTTCCCAGGAAGTCGTCTTTGTCCACATCTTTATCATATAGGTCAAACTCCACGTCTTGTCCTGGGATGTTAGTCACCAAGACCTGTAAAATTGGGGGGAAGTGGGACATATTAGACAGCAGCACGCACCCGTAGCACAAAACTACAGCCCTTATTGGGCTCCCATAGTTGTGAAAGCAAAGGTCTGTTCTGGACCAGCTCAGGAACATCATCTTGTGTGTGTGAGGGCAGCAACAGAGAAGGAAGGGTGGAGACTCTGGCCTCCTGGATCCTGCCTCACCTCTTTGAGAGAAAAAAGGGCCTAGGGAGGGTGGTTTAGACAATTCGTTGCTAAGACTAATTTATTAATTACTTTTTCAAAGATTAAAATACACCCTCTATAAGGTATTGCTCAAAGACCAAGCAAGAGACGCGCTTCAACCAAATTTTGAGGGAGTGCTCCCTGCCCCGGACATGAGTCACTTGTGCCCTTTACTAACTATTGGGCAGCGTATGTAGATAAAAACTTTTTAATGTCCTTACTGAGAGTTGAAGCCGAGGGGACTTGGTTCATAAGGTGGATGTTGACTTAAAGACAGGAAAAGGCTTTACTGATCTTGTAACTACTTTGTCTTGCTGTCTCAAGAGAATTCTCAACTGACATCTATGGTGTGTTTCTTGTGTGTATATGTGCTGATATGTTAATTTGGCTCCTTATTTTTGCTTAGCTTAATGGGGCTAGTGGTGCATTAAAAACACCAAGTTATCTGTTTACCGGTTACATGTCTGTCTTGCCCTTTTCTCTAATGAGCTCAGGATTCCCCTCCACTGGTTCCCACTTCATTCTCTCCAATACCTCTGAAAGGCAGGTTGCTATGATGAAAAGAAAGTGACTGAACCCCAAGGTCACCCAGTGAGTTTCATGGCTCAGTGAGAGCTAAACTCTGGACCTCCCAAGTCCCCATCCAAAACTTTGAACCATAGCGTCACACTGACTCTTAATCAAACTTTATCATAGGCACAAGTGTCTGTCTGTCTGTATGCATGCGCGGACATGGATATCTTTAAGATTTCTAGTGGCAGACTTAGATCATTCCAGGGATATAAATACTGAAAGACTTGTGCTTAGTATTCTGGACTTCGGTCTTTTGTGCCATAAAAAATGGACTTGACAGGTACTATTTAAATAAGATTTCACTTCGGCCACCAAGCTGCACATTGCAGATGGAAGATAAATACCTGATAATGATGATGACAATGATAATAATAACAGTAATAATAATGTATTCTCAAAGGCTTTCATGGCTGGGCAGTAATATTATATTAATATTAATATAATAATAATATTAATATAGTAGTAATAAGATTAATGACAGCCCTTTCCTGGCTTTTCTAGGTATAAAGACTCAGAAATGGTTTACAAGTCCTTTCTTCTCAGGTGCTCTGGGTCTGTGAGCTTGCCCAAGGCTGAACAGGCTGGCTGTTCTCCCAGGGCAATCTCAGGGGCTTGATAATGGGGGTGGGGAGGGATGTTCTTACCTCATAGATCTCACTCCAGCGGGGGTTGAGCTCCTCCTTGATGACACGGCTGCGAAACTTCTGGCCCCCCAAGCGTATTTTGACGTAGGGGTCCGATTTGCCCTTGATCATCCCACCCATGAAGTTATCCTTAGCAATGAGATTCTCAGCTTCCAGCAGATGAATACGGATGATGCTCTGAGAGTAAAATTGGATGACAGGTATAGAGCTTATCTGCTAAATCTGAAGGCATTATTATAGCAAGTAACAGACAGGCCTCTGTCTAAAACCATCCTGAGTTTTTACTACAGTAACACAACATTCTTCAGTCAGAAAGAGGCTGGGTGAAGAAATTGTGATATACAGTGGTGCCTTGCTTAACGAGCGCACCGTTTAACGACGAATCCGTATAGCGACGCGTTTTTTGCGATCGCTAATGCGATCACATCGTGATGTTTAGATAGGCTAAACATTGCATTGCGATGATCGGTAAGCGTTTCGCTTACCGATCTTCGCATTGCGATGTTTAGAAAACAGCTCATCGGCAGTTCCAAAATGGCCGCCGGGTGCAGAAATTGGCTGCCTGCAGCATTTTCGCGCCCTGCCCTCGCTTACCGGGCAGCGAAAATGGCGGCGGGATGGGGGAATCTTCGCTTACCAGTGAGTTTTTCCCCAATAGGAACGCATTAAATGGAGTTTAATGCGTTCCTATGCGTCCCCCCCCGCATAGCGACGAATCCGGATAGCGACGTTAATCTTGGAATGGATTAACGTCGCTATGCAGGGCACCACTGTAATTGAAACAGGAGGCTACAATGTCTGGCTTTTTCATCTCTTGAATTTTGCTGTAAATTCGTCAGAAAGCCATCAAAATAAAAAAGCCCAGCTATACATTGATGTGGATTAGGATTTCTTAAAAGGGCTAATATGATTTTATTCACTTTTTAAGAGCTATATTCCACACTTTAGTCAAAATAATAATAAGACACTGTACAATAATGGACTGCAGACCAGAGTAGATGCAAGCAGGAAAGCTAATTTTTGGACTACAATTTCCAGAGTCCCCCAGAAAGGATGGCCATGGGCCTAATCCCTGGAAGATTCTAGAAGTTATATTATATTATAAAAAGTAATATTTCCAAGTTCTGGCTAGATAGACTTTTAGTCTCAACCAAGAGTGCAAGTCAGATGCCTGTAGGAAGCTTATGTTATTTTTTCTTTTTTCATACCAGCAAACCTATTTCTGTTATTATAGCAACTGGGGAAAGGTTATTTGAGATTGGATAAGACACTGCATCAGGTCAACTCCAGTTACAACTGGAAATAAATGATGCATCTGACCAAAAGATGACCTGTTCTTTTGTAAAACATCCACTCTGAATGAATGTAAGCAAGAGATTTCAATCCATTTTTGTGATTTGTAATGGCTTTTTTGGGGGGAGTGGAGGATTGTATTGCTTTATTTTCTGGTGCCCGTGCTGGATAGATCAGAGTCATGTATTTATATCTTTCAAATCCGTGAAGCAAGGATACGAGTAATAACAAATCCTCATCTTTGCCTGACTTAGAAGGGCACCCTTATTCTTATTTCATATGGTTTCCCCGACAGCGCTTCATTTCATCTAGCAAGGCTGCTTGGTCAAGCAACATCAGCCGCCTTCCTCTAGGGGGTGGGATCTTACCTCGGTGCCAAACTCAGCATGTGGGCTAGCTGTGGTGGGCCGAGGAGGCTGATCAACACTGCTACCAATGTTGGCACTCTCCGAGATATTCAGATTTCCTGGTGGACATGGCCGAGGGTTGATGCAGACCTCAGGGGCTTCCAAATACAAGACCTACAGAAGCATTAACATACAGCAGAGGATCAAGTTCAAACAGCAAATGAAATATGCCTTTCTTCATCAGAAGTCTCTGAAATTCACACATCTGGCTTCTCAGCCTACACAGAACTTGGCCCAAAATGATCTAGTGCAGAACAAAATTCTGAGATAGAAGCCCAACCCTTGTCCCCACACTGATCCCATGTGCTCCAAAACACTGGCTTGTTGAAGAGAACATTACAACCTGCAGAGTTGTAATGTCTTCTCTTATTTGCTGAGAGAGCCTACGATGCAAACCTACCCCCATAGCAAAAGGGGGACAAGATATTAGATATAGATCTGACAAGCAGCTGCATGACTGCTGACCCCCATCTTCTGTTGCCCCAGCCTCCTTGCTTATCTGTCCTGTGTCTGGAATCTTAAGCCCTTCCAGAACTGCTGGGTTCTAGGCTCAGTGATTTAGGTCTCTGGCTGCAGAATCAGAGGCTGGGAGTTTGATTCTCTGACTGTGCCTCCTTGACAAGGACTGGACTTGATGATTGATAGGATCCCTTCCAGCTCTGTAGTTTTAAGATGATGATTAAATATCCAGGGCCTTGCTTAATGCTATGTAACAACAGCTAACCTTGGTTTAACAGGATCGTTTTAACCTCTGGTTTCCAGATTTGTGTGTTAGCAAACTATGGTCTTCAACTGGTTCCTACTCTGGACCCATCTGGTTACTATAGATAAGGGACTGCAGAACGTTCACCTTCTTGCTCCAGGGACTGACCGATCATGGATGGAGGTGGATGGGCTGTCAAGTGTCAGGAGGATTGTTGCGGAACTGAGTGTTGTATTCTACCTTCTCACCCACCCCCAAAATATTTTCCACAAGATTGCAAGGAATCCCAGGACAAAGTTTTATTTTGGAAGTACAGTTTGACCACATGTATGGCCAGCCTGAAGATGGGAAAAGTTACTCTGTTGCACTACAAGTCCCAGAAGCCTCCAGGTGGGAGAGTATTTAGAAGACCTAGCATGAAAATAAGAGCCCAAAGTACAAAGTGCAGAGACTGTAGTTGTAGAAGGGGTAGCAATGTTAGTCTGTGCAAGTGTTACAGGGAAAAACAAAATAGAAATAAAAAGTAAATGTGATTCAATTGTTTTAAGCTATTTAAATTTTTGGTCCTAAGAGAGGGGTGTAAAAATTGCAAACCATACTGCTTGAGACCGCATCCCCAGAGGATTTGCATCAGCCTCGTGGACATGTACCATCAACTTTTGGACTCTTGTCTACAATTTTTCTGCGCTATCATGAAGTGGTGGTGCTAAGCCCGAAGAAGTGGAGTTTTCTATATGAAAGCTTGCAACTTGTTTGATTTTCCTAGTGGCCCAATAAAAGATAATCACTCACATTTGTGTAAACTTGGGGATCACCTGGCCTTTTCCTTTTTCTTTCTAAATTCTTTCTAAATTGTATTTGCACTTTTACAATTATTTAATTGATTATACCCTGCCCTGAGATTTGTGGGTATAAGTCACGTTAGATATAGTTCACTAATGAATAAATAAATAAGAAATAAACATGAAGTCCCCCCCCCACTCCATGTTTTTTACCCGCATAACAAGTTTCATATAGATGCGGCTGTTGGGCCCTGAGTTCTCGAGCTGAAACCACTGGTCAAGGGTCAGATTGTCAGCATTCAAGAGGCGGGACAAGCGGATTGTGAGGGAGCCCAGGGTCGTCTGTCGGTTATCGTCTTTGACCTGCAGGATAAAAGAAGAGTTTGCTACTGGCTGCGTCACAGGAAGCTGGAAAGCAAACTGAAGAAAGGCAGCCAAACCTTACCTGTATATCAATGTCTTCAGCAGTTGGGTCCTGCAGGAAGAAACGGAAGGCATCATCCCAGACAGGAGAGACTGTGCTGTTGACCACCTGGTCGGAAAAGGAAAAGGAAAAAAAAATATAATGACAATGGAGCCCTGCACCCTCTGCAGTCAGGGACAGAAATAACATCTGCCTCTGTAAGCCATTCATTCGACCATCAGGCCTATTGTAGCTGCAGTGGTTAAAGACAGAGGAGAGAGCAGCCGGGAAGACCTCCATCATCCCCATCTCCATCAAGCAAATGTAATTCTTAAGCTTCTGCATTAAGGAAGGCATAAAGGCTAACGGTCAGTATAACCACCACGCATGCATCCTGCCTGGGATACAGTTCTCCATGGGGCAAAAAAAAAAAAAGGCAAATATATGCTCTGAATATCAGATATGCCACTTGCCCACCGAACGTTTACAAGTCAAAGGCCAGAATCCTATTATAGATTTACACCGCTGTAAGTGTAATTGTGGAAACTGTGGCAGCAAATTGCTCACATTCCAGACTACAAGCCAAGCTGCCTGACTGGCCCATGATCCAGAACACAAGCAGGAGATTGTTAATTAACAGCAATTCACTGCTGTGGTTTATACAGAAATACTTAATGTAGCATCAATCTCCCATAGGATCCTGGCTAAGATGTTCGGTGAAGCAAATATTTTCAAGAGTAGAATTATTTAAACAGACTCCTTACCTTGCTCTCCCGGGTAACATCATGGATGGAGAGCTGTACCATAGGATTGGGCTCCTTACTTGATTTCTTCAACTGAAGTAAAATATTTATTCATTATTTGGTTACATTTATGTCAGAGATTATTAGTTCAATAAGATCAAAATGACTCACATCCTCCCTATTTTACCCCTAAAAATGGTCCGTGAGGACGATCAGGCTAAAAGTGAGTGACTGATCCAAGGTCACTGACCCCTGAGTTTCATTGCCCAATGGGGACTTGCACCTGGACCCCCAAAATCCCAGTTAAACCTCCCTCTCTCTCACTTTGATAAATTAATATGACCTCTAACGAACTGAATAAAATTTTCACATATACTGACTGAATGACAATGAGCAACACAGTCTTTAAGAAAATCAACTCAACCAAAGATAGACACCACTTCCTCCTTTTCTGAATTCTGGAGGAAGGAGGGATCTAATTTAATTGAAATGAGTAGAAGATGAATCAAGGGCTCGAGAGCCAGCCACACCCACTCCATTCTCCAGCACAAGCTGACACTCCTCTTCGTGGAGTTGAGCAAGAGGTGGCCAAGCAGCTGCCATGGCTAACTTGGCAAGCGAGACTTGGTGGGCCTGCAGCTTTCACCCCTCCTGTCTGCATTTGCCACCTGCAGCACAGCAGTAGGCATTTGCCACTCTGCCTATTTTCACAGTTGGCTCTGATGTGTGAATACAGCCTAAACCTCCGCTTAGTCAGAAAAAAGCAGATAAGGTGCAAAACTCAAAGCCATGATATTAGGCAAATTAAGAAATTTAAATGCATACCCAAAGGTTTGATTCACCCTACCAGCCCTGGCGAAAAGAAAAGGTTATGAAACGGCTCACTGGTATAATCAAGAAATTCTTCCTTATTTAAAAATGTTATATGCCAACCCCCTCTGTCCCCAAAATAATTTCAAGACAGTGCATATAAACATTTAAATTTCAGTACAATAAAGCAGCTTAAAATCCAAGCATAAACAATAAGGGGCTTAAAACTTTTATCAAACAGCACCAAATACAGCGAGGTCTCGACCTACAGAATTAATCCATATTGGAACGGGGTTCGTAGTCATAAACAATAAGGGGATTAAAACTTTTATCAAGCAGCACCAAATACAGCGAGGTCTCGAGCTACGGAATTAATCCGTATTGGAACGGGGTCCGTAGGTCGAAAAGTCCTCAAGTCAAAAATGCATTCCCCATAGGAATGCATTGAAAACACATTAATCCGTAACCCGTCCCAGAAACACACACACACCCCAAAATTAAAATATTTTTTTTAAAAAAATGAACCTTACCTTTTTGAAGTCTTCAAGGGGTTCCCCGCCATCGCCGCTGCTGGAGGATTCCAAGGGTCCCTGTCGGAGGCCTCTCAGAGGTCCCCTGCCGCCGCCGATAGTGCTTTGGAGGCACTATTGGCGGCGGCGGGGGGGAACACACATCCAAGAGACCTCCCATGATGGTGGGGAAGGCCTCCATACATTCCCGCGCCACCGCTGCTGGGAGCCGCGCCAGGTGATCCCGGCCAGGCTCGGACTCCTGGGAGTCCGAGTATGGCGGGGATTGCCCGGTGTTGCTCGGCTCGGAGCAGTGGCGGCAGTGGCGGGGGACCTCCCGATGCTTTCCCGATGCTGGGAGCCTTCGGAGCTCTCAAAGGCCTGC